CATCTCTGCGTTTTCAGCCAATGTGTTTTTTGGAAAGGGTCAGGGACTTTTTTTTTTTATGCCAAAAGTTTTGTTTTTGGTTCTATAGACTTCATTGGAAACGCTGCAAAAAAACATGTAGAATGTTTTTGCTGCGTTTTAAATCTGCCTAGCTACAATAATAAAAAAAAAAAAACAACGCAAAACACAATGCAGAAACGGCTCAAACGCAAACTTCATAGGTGTGAACGTAGCTTTAGAAGTCATTAGAAGAAGATTTGAAGCGATTCTAAAGGTTCATTTTTTTTTTGGAACAAACTATACTCACCTGCTGTGTGCAGTGGTTTTGGACAGAGCAGCCTGAATCCTCTTCTTCTCAAGGTCCCTGCAGGCTCTCCTGTCCCCTCTCTCCTGTCAGGTGCCCCCACAGCAAGCAGCTTGCGATGGGGGCACCTGCTACTCCGTGTTTCCACACACGGAGCCATGGCTTGGCCCCACCCCGTCTCTCCTTATTGGCTGACTGGCTGTGATTGACAGCAGTGGGAGCCAATGGCTCCTGCTTGCTGTCTCAGCCAATGAGGAGGCAGAGACCCAGGACAGCTGAGGCTGTCGTGCACGTGGTTGGATCGCGGTGGGGCTCAGGTAAGTATTGATGAGACTGGGGGTACTGCCTGGGGGTAAGGTTTTTTTTAGAATGCATTAAAAAAAAATGGTAAAAACCTTGAGCCTTTACAACCACTTTACAGCTCATTCACAGTCTGTGTTGGAGGGGAAATCAGTGTATATGGGGGCAGTCTGTGGGGGGATCAGTGTATATGAAGGCGGTGTAGGGGGGGGGGGGGAATCAGTGTATATGGGGGCAGTCTCTGTAGGGGGGAGGGAGATCACTCTGGGGGGTTCAGTCTGTGAGTCAGAGGGAATTTACCTCCCACCATGCCTTGCAAACACCCATCCACTCCCTGCAGAGACCTGACACCCAACACTTCCCATTACACCCAACATACCCTGCCAGCAGATCTCATAGATCTCATCCTACTATACTCTGCATACACCAATCACATAAACCCTCCTGCACCTCTCACCACCCATCAAACTCCACAATTCCTGTATACACCCATCACACCCTTCGTACAGCTATGGCTCCCCCATCACCCCCCATAATACACTGTATACACCCCTTCTTCATTGTCACCACCCTTTACATCCTAGTTGCTACTGTCACCATGCAACCTCTCTCTCACTGGGGAGGGGGGGGGGGGGGACGCACAATTTTTGTGTTGCCTAGGGCAGCACAAAACCTAAATACACCACTGTGTATGCCCATGTGAATGTGTCAGTTTCCCGTAAAGTAAAGTACAACATTTTATGAAAAAAATAATACTTTTTAAAAACTCTGATACACGTAATAACATTTATTGGAGAATGCAATAAATGACCATTCAGGTCTGGATGGGCACATACAAAAGGAATAACTTGAAGGTTTCCTCGGGGGATCCACTAGTAAGATTTCCCATATTAGTTTGTGTCTGTACCCCCGCATCGCCTAATGAAGAAGTTGCTTTCTTGTAGCTGTATTCCCCAATTATCTGCTAATTCTACCTAACAGAGAATCTATCAGGATAATGTGACACCTTCACGTGGCTCTTTATTAGATGTAAATAGGCACTTCAGGAGTGCAGTTTTCAGGCTTCTGTCAATGGGCAAATGCTGTGTATTTTTAAAGTGGAACTAAACCCATTGATTTAATGGTTTCCCCAAACAGTTCCATTCAAGGCATGCCGTAATTGATAACGGTCACAGTTGCTTGTGCTCTCAACTGAACTGTAAAGTCATCAAAGGGCTGGTGTTATAACTGATCACGTGTGCAGCACCATGGTAACTGCATATCAAACAGAGGCTAAGATGGCAGCTTTCTTGGCTATAAAAGATAGGAGGGTTTGTTTAGATGGGTGCAGCGGCAGTAAACATACAGAGGCCAAGAGTGCAGTAACCAATGTATTGAAGAAGCTGCAGTTGGGGTTGCCAAATGTTAAGATTTATTATCAAGCGGTGATACTTTCACAAATAATAGATTGGGAATTTAATTCACATAGGAAAGTTTGGGTGAATATGGAAGTAACGTTGAGTAAGGCACAGTTAGGAAAGATGGTTTGGGTTCCACCAGGGGCGGACTGACAACTCATGGGGCCCCCAGGCAATAGGGGATCATGGGTCCCCTGTGTCCTTGCCCAAACTCAAAAAAGCCTATGAAAAAGGTACCAGGGGTATCTCATGGGGCCCCCTACTGACCCCAGGAACTCGGGCAGAGCCCGAGTTTCCAAATGGTCAGTCCGCCCCTGGGTTCCACACAAGTTTTGCACATTAGATGGGGACACTAGTTCACCGACAAAGAAAGTTTTCAGTGTTTGGGATAGATTGTATAAACAAAAAGGATGGAAATATAACTCGGGTATGATCCCATTGGCGGTAACGGAGTATTTCCCACCAGGGAAGGACAAGATCTCTGGGAAATGGATTAAAAATCAGAGCACATGCTTAAAGGATGGTGTTGAGTGGAGGGAATTTGCACACTTTTTTTTATTTAAAAAGGAAAGAAAAGATTTATTTTTTATTTTAAATGGGTGGCAGTATGGTCAACTTGCTCACTTTGTTTCAATACTCCCACAACCATAGGGATGTTGGAAGATCAGTACCTATTTGAGAAACTTATGAATGTAACTATAGCCTGAAACAGGGCACCTCTAAGATATATAAGATCCTTATGGATATAAAAAGGTACTGATCCCCTCCAGTTCTTAAATAAATGGGAGCAGGAGTTGGGATCAAAGTAGAACGCACAGCAGAGGAACAATTTATTTAAATTGGTACACGAGGAACAAACATGATCACTGGTGGAAGTGAACTATAAAATGTTTGGCTAGACGATATACAGTTGTGTCCAAAATTAATTCACCCCCAATGCTGTAAAGGGGTTTAGGGACTATAGTGTACATTTGGAATTGTATTCAGGAATCAAATCCTACAAGGACGTTGTAACTACCCAAATGCAACTAAAATGACATCAATTGTTTATGTAATACAGTAGTAAATGGTTCTTATGTGGTTTCTTCATTGCCACAATTATTCAACCCCTTAAAGACTACCACTCTGAAGAACAGAGGTTCATACAGGTGCTTTCCATCAGGTATTGAAAACACCTGTGGATGTCACCGAGCAGCAATCAAGCATAATAAGCACCAATTAGGCAGCTTTAAAATGACTGTGATACTCAGCTCCTTCTAGACATTTACTGGTGTGGTTACAAACATGGTGAAGGCAAGAGAATGTCCAGGAAGACAAGAGAAGAGGTGATTTCTCTTCACAGGAAGGGCAATGGCTATAAGAAGATTGCAAAGATGTTAAACATACCAAGAGACACCTTAGGAAGCATCATTCGCAAATTCAAGGCAAAGGGCACTGTTGAAACGCTACCTGGTCGTGGCAGAAAGAAGATGCTGACTTCGACTGCTGTGCGCTACCTGAAGCGTAGAGTGGAGAGAAGTCCCCGTGTGACTGCTGAGGAACTGAGAAAAGATTTGTCAGATGTGGGTACAGAAGTTTCAGCCCAGACAATAAGACGCACACTGCGTAATGAAGGCCTCCGTGCCAGAACTCCCAGGCGTACCCCCTTGCTGTCTCCAAAGAATAAGAAGAGTCGACTGCAGTATGCCAAAAGCCATGTTGTGGACAAACCACAAAAGTTGTGGGATAGTGTTCTGTGGACTGATGAAAACAAAATTAGAACTGTTTGGGCCCATGGATCAACGCTATGTTTGGAGGAGGAAGAACAAGGCCTATGATGAAAAGAACACCTTGCCTACTGTGAAGCATGGTGGAGGGTCAATCATGCTTTGGGGCTGTTTTTACGCTTCTGCAGGTACAGGGAAGCTTCAGCGTGTGCAAGGTACCATGAAATTCTCTTCAGTACCAGGAGATATTGGATGGAAACGTGATGCAGTCCGTCACACACCTGAGGCTTGGGAATACGTTGGACCTTTCAACAGGACAATGATCCCAAGCATACCTCCAAGTCCACTAGAGCATGGTTTGCAGAGGAAAGGCTGGAACATTTTGGAGTGGCCATCGCAGTCACCAGACTTAAATCCGATTGAGAACCTCTGGTGGGACTTAAAGAAAGCAGTTGCAGTGCGCAAGCCTAAGAATGTGACTGAACTGGAGGCCTTTGCCCATGAAGAATGGGCGAAGATACCCGTAGATCGCTGCAAGACACTTGTGTCAAGCTATGCTTCACGTTTAAAAGCTGTTATAACTGTAAAAGGATGCTGTACTAAGTACTAAGATTGAATGTCCCTTGGGGGTTGAATAAAACTGATAATGCTGTGAGCACAGAAAAGACATTTGTGGTTATTTCATTATAACTGTTATGTTATATTTGTCTGACCTACAAGTGCCTCTTTAATGTAAATGTAAGCAAGATGACTGAATGATCAAAAGCAATGTCAAACTGGCCAAAACACTCAATTTCAGTGGGGGTTGAATAATTTTGGACACAACTGTATCACACCGAGTAAAGCACATAAACAACATGTAGAGGTTTCACCTTTATGTTGGAGAGGTTGTGGGCGAAAGGGCTCATATATGGTGGACCTGCCTAAAGATACAAGAATTTTGGAAGGAAGTATTACAATATATTCAGGAAATATGTGGGATCATTATACGGAGAGATCCGTGGATCTGTTTATTTTATACATTTGAATTTTTGATAAATCTACACAAGAATAGGGTACTTTACCTTCTAGTTAGTGTGGCTAAGGGCCCGATTCCCAATTTTTGGCTTGCCCCCAGGGGCGGACTGACAACTCATGGGGCCCCCGGGCAATAGGGGATCATGGGGCCCGTGTCCTTGCCCAAACTCAAAAAAGCCTATGAAAAAGGTACCAGGGGCATCTCATGGGGCCCCTACTGACCCCCGGCAATGCCCGAGTTTCCAAATGGTCAGTCCGCCCCTGCTTGCCCCCGATCCACCAAGTATGAATGACTGGGTAAATAGAGTAGAGAGCATTTATAGGATGGAGGAGTTGTGTCATATTGAAGAGGATAAAATGGAAAAATTTTAGGAAAACATGGAGTAAGTGGTTGTCCTTTACAACAACTAAAAGATATCTGGAATGTAGAACATAAGAAAATTAGTATGGGGGAGAGTTTTTTAAAGAATTGCCCACAGAGAAAAGGGATAGGAGGAAGGAGATACAGATGTAGACTGATAACGATAAGGATGGGTCAGGGACTTTTTTGAATGCAAAAAGTTGCATTTTTGGTTCAATAGACTTCAATGGAAACGCTGCAGAAAAGCATGTGTTACATTTTTGATGTGTTTTGTGTTTTAAATCTGCCTAGCAACAATAAAAAAAAAAAGAAAAGCAAAAAACACATCAAAAACACGGCAAAAGTGCAGGTGCTAAAACACAAAACTCAATACGCAATGCAGAAATGGCTCAAACACACAACCTGCATAGGTGTGAACCTAGCCTTAGAGAATAGGTGCAGGAACTTCATCCTTCTGAGAAAAAAAGTCCTGATTGAAAGTAAAATGTTTCATTGTCAGAAAAGGGAATGGATCTAAAGCTGGCCATACACTATGCAATCTGACTGTGCAATCTCCTTTAGAGTCAGAGGTTGTGACATCATCAGCCCGCCAATCAGAGGAAGCTTTGTATTCATTGATAGAATACATTGCTTACTGTGAATGGCTGAGCGCTGCTGTGATAGACTGTGAATATACTGCACATCCAGCGGCTTCACAGGTTTGTGGGGGACCAAGCTGGCCCAAATTAATTCCGTCACGTATAGTGAAAGGTGGAGATTAGCTTTAAAACTAAAGAATCTGCCCGATCAGGTTTGTCCACATATTACATCATTTGTGAAGCAGCGGTAAAAACTTGGCAACAATAGCTGAAGTGTCGCTCAGGAATGCTTTTCTATGGGGCAGACGGTGGGATTCAGTGCTGGTGCGCTGTGCGGTCTCCTTCCTAATTTGTATCTCTGTTTGCAGCGGGTGCCGCTTGTCCTTTGACTTGATTGGGTGGCGGTGGCACTTAGAGCAGCAGTACTTGGTGTGGGCAGAGGTGGGCACCCCTGGGAGCAGGAAAAGAGTGATTCAGTGCTGTGAGGTTCAGTCCTAGTCCTGCTCAGTGCCCACACAGCCCATGCGTTTCTGAGCCCAGCTGCAGACTGCAGTAAAATTGTGCATGGGAGAGCCTGCCTCAAACTGGAAGGCATTTAATAGGAGAGGGGTTTGTGTGCAGAAGGTGGGGGGGGGGGGGGGTGCAGAGAAGGAACTGGATGAGGGGGGTGCAGATGATGTCCTGGATTAGGAGTTGGGGTGCAGAGGAGGCCCTGGACCAGGAAGGGAGTGCAGAGGAGGTCTTGGTCTGGGGGGATTGCAGAGGAGGCTCTGGACAAGAAAAGTGCGTGGGGGGGGGGGGGGGGGGTTGGTTTTGGCAAAGACTCTGGATTTGGAGTTAAGGTGCAGTGGAGGCCCTGGATTTGAAAAAGGGGGATTGGCATGGTAGAGGACCTGGATTAGGAAGGGAGGTGGCCTTGAACTTGGAGGGGGGGGGGCTGTAGAGGAGGCCCTGGACTTGGAGGGGGGGGGTGCAGAGGCTGCCCTGAACTGGGAGGGTGGCAGAGGAGGCCCTAGACTTGGAGAGGAGGTGCAGGGGAGGCTTTGGACTAAGAAAAGTGGGTTAGTGTAGCAAAGGCCCTGGATTGGGGGGGGGGGGGCAATGGAGACTCTGGACTAAGTGAGGGGGTGCTTGGAGGTCCCAGACTAGAAAAGGGGGTGTCTGGAGGTCCTGGACTAGGAGAGGGGGAGTGTGGAGGCCCTAGACTAGGAAAGAGATCTGGCAAAACTCAGATTTTTGGCGCAGTGCACAAAGTGCACCGCTATAATACCACATACCATTTTTTTTTTTGGGGGGGGGGGTGCTAAAAAAAAAAAAAAAAAAAAAAAAAAGACCAGTCCCAGGTGCCAGATGTGCTCTAGCTATGCCACTGTTCTTAATTCTGCTTTCAAACTGTATGGTATGGCATTGCTGCAACAGAGGTGAGTTCCACTTTATTCTCTTTTCAAAGTCTGTATCCTGTTTTGTTACATAACAGCCAATCACATTCAACCTGCAATAGAAACTGACAGTTGGATAAGGAAAGTCTGAAATTGATGGATTGGTATGAAGTGATATAGGCAGTTCTCATAAAGAACAGATGGATAAACAAGGCCATGGCTGTGCTATTGCTCAACAGTAACCAGTGAAATTCACATTTGTGCTGCAGAGTGATAGTTGGTGAAGAAACTTTTGAAACAGAAATCCATTATATTATATATATATTAATTTATTATGTTGTATACATAGCACTAAGGAATGTAAAACTTGCATTGCATAAACCAGGTATCAAAAACCCCAGGCACACAATTCCATCTGTGCTGGCACCCACTGCTACCTTTATGAGAGGTATAGTATATACTGTAAACCAATGAGAGAGATTTTTGGAGGAATTTCATTACAGAAGTCAACGAGATATGTTGGAATTTCAGTTTGCCCCTTAGTGTTTAAAGTAAAAAGACAAAAGTATTAAATAAATGATACACTGTTTTCTTCCTAGCTGTCAATTTATTGATTTGTAGAAGTGAGAAAGGCAGTGGAGAGGACTTTACAAGGAATGTGTCAGCTCTTATTATGTAGAAAACAATTTGCCACTTCATAGGATAACAAAATCACTAAATGGAAAAAGAGATTAAAGTGAGAGTAAACTCCCTTTGTTGCTTTGCACCTACAGGTAAGCCTATAATATAGCTTACCTGTAGGTACAGTAAATATCTCCTATAAGTGCACCAGGATACACACCGCATGGCTTGGAACAACAGGATACACACCGCATGGCCTGGAACAACAGGATACACACCGCATGGCCTGGAACAACAGGATGCACACCGCATGGCCTGGAACAACAGGATGCACACCCCATAACAACAGGATGCACACCCGCATGGCCTGGAACAACAGATGGTCTGGAACAACAGGATGCACACCCCATAACCTGGAACAGGATGCACACCCCATAAACCTGGAACAGGATGCACACCCCATAACCTGAAACAACAGGATACACACCCCATAACCTGAAAACAACAGAATGCACACCCCATAACCTGGAACAACAGGATACACACCGCATGGTCTGGAACAACAGGATAGCACACCCCCCATAACCTGAGAACAACAGGATGCACACCCCATAACCTGGAACAACAGGATACACACCACATGGTCTGGAACAACAGGATGCACACCCCATAACCTGGAACAACAGGATACACACTCCATAACCTAGAACAACAGGATACCCCCATAACCTGGAACAATAGAACACACACCCCATAACCTGGAACAACAGGATACACACCACATTAGATGTAATGTGTCAATCCTGTGTAGCCAAGTGCTATGTGTCTACCTGCTTTCCCCCTATCTGGTGTATTACTGAACTGAGTGCAGAGTGGAGACTCTGCATGTGCCGACTGTGCGTGCTTCTTTGCTCTCTTGCTTGCCCCCTCCAGTCAACTGTGAACATAGGAGTGGGCTGCAAGTGCTCAGGGAGCAGTAAACACAGCTGTGTGGATATTTCCCCCACCACTGTGTAGTCACTTGCTCTCCTCTCAGCAATACAAATGGCTGTGAGCCGAATGCTTGTGTATGTGCTAGCTCACTCATCACCCCTCACAGGATCTGTGTACAGCAGGCTCTACATACTTTCCTGCTCAGTCTTTTCTCCCCCCCTCCCTCCTGTCAGTGCAGGTTCAAATAAAATCACAGGAAGCAAGAGAAAGTGCCAATGGGTACATCAGAGGGGACCACTATTCAGGCACTAAGGACACTGGGGATTGTAGTTCTTTTCACCATACTTGTTAATGAAGGCTAACAGGCTGTGGCCATCCAATTCCCACAAATTCCTGCTTCTGAGTAGAGGTGCACCACCTAAGGAAGGGCCCCACCAAAACCTAGCCAACACTGACTACCAGGTGAACGTGACTTTCAGACACATTCACGGGTATTCCATCCACTAGAGATGCATACAACTGCCCGCTGTTGGGGTTGTATGTACAAGGTGTACACCAGGCTTCTTTTTGATTCTTCTGAACCAGTTGAGGTTGTTCAGAGACTCTAGTTATCCGGTAGTGATTTAATCTAGTCCTGCTTTAACATTTGAGTATTTGCAAGTGGGTAATCAACCACTTAACCTCTCATAGCCCTTAAGTCTATGTAATTACTTGTTTACTGATATACGCTTTGTTTGCGTTGCCTTAATACATTAAGTATTGTTCTCCAAGCTTTTTGTGGCCTTATATTCTTCTGCATTCTTAGCCCATTCAAAATTCAAGTCCACAGGTATAAACGACTTTAGTGTATGACCTAGAGTGTCAGTGGAGACTGAGCAGTTAAGAGAGTCGCAGCAGAACAGGAGGATCCATCATAAGCAGCTACTGAAGGGGTAAGTGTTGAACTACAGAACATCTTTCCTCTTCTCATCTTCACAATATGGGGGAAGTAGTTCTATAGTACAACAGAAGAAGGGCTGATTAGGCTTCTTGAGATACACAATCAGACAATCAAAGTGAATAGCCCACACACACACACACACACACACACACACTTCCATTCACAGTCTTTGAGCAGGCACCCTCACGGCACCCCTGATGTCATAGGTTTTCGGGGGAATACATCAATTAATGCAAAGCCTGTTATCAGATATTTTCCTGAAATGTGTCTTTAAAACCAACTTGCCGTAGTCTAATTACTGTAAATTGTGCTGAATTCATTTGTGTTCCCCCCAGCCATTAATATGATCTCATTCATGCAAATAAAAATGTCATGACACTACAGAGCAGAAGGCCTGAGAGTTCTCTGCTAAGCCCATTGATTTCACTTCACAGCGAGTCAGTGAGCGATGAGAGTGTAGAGCACCCTGCACACGCACAAATCTCCCTGATATATTGGTTATTTCATGGATGTCCAATGATCGCCACGGCTGCAGGAAGCAGAGAGGTTT